ATTATTATTATTATTATTATTATTATTATTATTATTATTATAGCATATAGTCCAATATTTATTTTTCTTCTGATAAACATTTAAATACATTTGATAATAACATTTATGTGAAATACAAAAGAGGATGAATTTCTGAAAAAATGCTATAAAAAACCTTTTTTTTCTTAAATGATAAAAGACGATTGAAAATATGATTCATTGAAGACAAAAAATAGAGCATTGTACGAAAATTAATGACAGAAAACAGAAATGGTTTATGGAACAATATACCCACAAATACAATTGCAAATCTCATTGTCCGGCTGGAATGTTACGGAAAAATGCAATACTAGTTGAAATATAGAACACATTATCGGATGTCGGGAATTTAAACTAAAATTGCATGTTTTATTGTAATGTAATAAAAAAAAGTTATGTGTTTATTAAAAAACCAGTAGCCTACTACAGTAGATCTCAAATATACTTGTAAAAAGAACACATAAATTAATAACAGATTGACTTGATTGTGTTTTGTTGATAGTTGGTATAGCCTGAATTTATCTACTAGGCTGTTCCCAGATTATTTTTGCTTTGTGCATAGAAAGTAAAGCTCTATTTAATTAGCAGTATCAACATCATTAAATTCACATTTTTATTTTTTTTTAATTTTCGTTTTAACATAAATCACATTTACATTCATCTAAAATCTTCCGAATTGTTGAAGCCTAACAATCCCAGACAATCACAAACTGGGTGAAATTGGGTATGCGTGCCTCTATATTCTATTCTATGCCTCTGTCAGCATAGTAAAAAAATGCCTAACCGTATAATTTCTCTTAAAAGTTGATATAATATCACCTATAATCTTTAAGTAATATTATCTAATAATAATAAGTAGTTTTTTTTTTCAATAAATACTGTAGTTGAGTTGATTCTTTCATGACAAATGCAGTTGAGTGTGCCTTTCGTGTCTTTCTTATATGTGATTGACTCGGTTGTCATGAAAAAACATTAAATCTGACATATTTCGTATTATTATTAATTATAGGGTAATTTAGAAAACAAGTTCTACACAATATACAGTACCTATAAAACTCCTAAAATTGTGTGAAAATACTAATTCAATTATTTACGCATGAAGAGAGCGAAGACAATAACACGTTTTGTTGATTATCTCAGAACTTTATTAAATGCAGTTGCGTTGTTTTTTTCATGACAGGGCACAACGATTGCACTAAAACACCGTAATATAGCGATTGTATGAAAATCAAACTTATATGGCCGATACTATAATTGATTCAGCTTATGATTTAATGAATAAATAAACAATAACTGAAATTTACCAAGAGAAGTTTGTATGGTGATTGAGGCCTCGTCACCATCAATATCATCAACAAACGGTTTGACATATATTGTATAAGTAGTAAGAGGGCGCAGTGCTTGTATATGTAACGAAAAGTGGCGTTTAGTTGATGTCACTGCATACCGAATACTTTGAACCTCAAGAGGACCACTCATGTCATCGTTTTCCTGTTGAGAGTAAAATAATTATTACGATAAAGACAACGAAGACGAGGATTATCACTATTAACTAGATGATGATGAATGTTACC